TGACCAACTGAATAAGAGTATAACTTAAAAACTGTGATACCAAACTATTAATAACTAATTCTAATAGCATTTGGTTTTGTTATGATACGATACGTAGAGTTATATAAAAGACTCTGAATTTTTGTATCAAAAGACCAAATTCATATTGTGCAATTCTAACAATTTAATTATTTTCATCGTGGAAATACTACTAATTTACATACGCTACGTTACGCTGAAATAACGAAAAATGTAAAATCGCTGACTTTATTATAAAATATCTTACTCGATAGATTTTCTTTGTTGTTCTTGGTCAATCAACCAAAGACTGCGAACACAGCAGTTAGTTTTCTTTGAACGATCTTAGAAACAGTGTAAATCGATTCGTGTGAAACGACATCCTTTTGATATTTGCAACGGAACGGCGCAAGCGATTCCTTACAATGGTTACAGTAGAAACATCAAAGTTTGGTCAGACGAAAAGCTAGAAGTAAATCGTGGACGTTAAAAAAGTCGGCTGTACCTTCAAGGATCGTATTGAATTTGGAAGTAGATCTGTTTCGGACTGCTTCCCTTTACTAACTTGAAGGAACCATTTTCGGAGTTCAGACAGCTTCAAAACCGTGAACGATCTTATCGAAAGAATTGGTTCAAGCCGCACAGCTTAGCGTCTCAGATATTTTTGTTGCGGCCACTCAGGATCTGAACGAATCGCGGCTACATGCGTCACAGCTGTAAATTAAAGAGTAATACTGATTTTAACACCTTCACTGCCGAGCGAAATTCGCATGACACCATTTCCTGTATTTTGAAAACTAATATTCCCGGTGGCATATCGAACGAACTGAATTTTGTTGAATCTAAAAAGTTCAAACAGATCGAGAAACAAATTGTATTAGAGACTTTGACATTTCAATTTCGTTTTTATTAATTAAATTATTTCGTGTATAGGATTTTGATTGGTACCTATTGGACGGTCAGTGTTAAAGTGTGTAAACTTCGTTTTCTCAAAATATTCATTTTAACTCTGTTTTCAGGCTCGTTGATGAATTGGAACGATATTTATATAGATGTATGATTAGTAATTATTAGTGCTATGTAAGGATTATTATCTTGTATGATCCAATGCTATTAAATCGTGTAATCCGGATTGTACAATGACTGGTATTGTTTATGACACCGTGAACACGTTGTGATGTGCCAGACATTTGTACAATATCTGAATAATTTCAGAATTTATATGCTTGTCCCTTGGATTCCATAACTTTTTTTTATCTGTTAAATTAATGGAATGTGTGACAGTGATAATGAAAATGGAGCTGAGTCATAATTAATCAATGATAAACGGTCGTATCCATGTAACAGAAACGAATCCATTACACTATGTAGTAACTAAATATATCAAAATGTGGTATCAATAATTTTTTCTTATGGATACCATTAATAGTCTTATGTGGCAAAAATTCATTCGATGTGTTTTACTGAAATATTTGTAAAATATTATCTGCTTTTTTGGTACACACACTATTCGATTTTTGTATAAAATATAAATGAAATTCTGTATCTTAACAGAAGTTCGCAATGAGTTACAGTTTGTGCATGTCAGTGCACATATTAAAATAAATTATTTTATCTTTATTATGAATAAACAATTTATGGATCGTTTATAATGAAGAATTTTTTAATATGTAACAAAATGTAATAGTATATTAATTAAATATGCACAACTCCATAGTAATTATACTAAAATTACACAAAATTCTATAAGAAAAATATACCTAATTGTAAAACAAAGTCATAAATATTCGTACAGGACTCCATTCATAAATGGTTACGACATTTATCTTTTATGATCCGTTTAAATTGCGAGCCTGAAGAAGAATGTAGGGTGAATGAGGTATTGGGTCAAAGGTAAGAATAGAGTAGTATTGTCTAAATATAGAATATAATCGAATGTAATGAATATAGGAAATCTATTACTTATTCAATAATCGATTTCACTAATAAGTGTTGAATAATTCTAATAATTATAACCTTCTAAACAACTACCATGTAACGCTATTTATTTTTAATTATTTACAGAAGACTGTTAAGTTTTTGTCTATTAAACTTCAGGTCAAATGAACAATATAAATGAAATCAATAAGAAAAGAACTATTTATTAATAATTCTTTTTTTAATATTGTGGTCAATCATTATTATAAAAATTTCATTAAATTTTTATGACATTTACATATGACGATACATGCATTTATCAATATAATTCTTCAGTACATTTAACATATATTTAAAAGAAAAATTTATGTTAGGTAAATCAATAACATTTTTCCATTTCACTGTGACATTGTGATGAAGACAATTAAATACGGAATCTCGAAATTTCTTGTAATTTATTACCAAGTTATTACACAAAGAAGTATAGTAAATTATCTTACACTTTAATATCTTAAATATAATAGTTTACTGTTGATTAATCTTGTTGGAGTTAATTTGTTCTGCTTAATGTATGAATCCTGGAAGTTTGAACGTCCCAAGAGTTCTCTGGAACTTCTAGATTTACTTGCAACCTAGTGTACGATATACAATATAAACTTCAGTTTAGTTTTTGCTGTTTTAGACAAATCTAGGAAATGGTATAAACATTGTTTACATCTATATAAACACTAGTGATGCACTGATGGCTATATTGGCTCATAGGTGTAGTTAATCAATCCCTTTCGATTTGCAGTTATGTTAAGGAAGTCGTGCATAGTTAAAATATTAATAATGTATTTAAATATCCGTCGTTTAAATTTTTGACGTTTAATTTTCATATAAGATCAAGGACAAATATTTTACTTTCATGGCGTTTAAAACTCTTTTAAAGTATTAAAAATATTTTCTCGTATTATGTGTCGTTGCAGAGTTTTAAATGGCACGAGAATAAAATGCCCGTCCTTGATCTTATATAAAAATCAAATGTTAAAAATTTTAACCACTCTTATATACATATACCGTGAGTAGAATAACGACATCTATACATTACCAGCTGCAACAACAGAAATCGAGGAATGATAAAATGCCATATCTGTAAACACATGTTTGAGAATATTTAATCACCGATGTGTGACGGGATGTACCAGCTATTTAGTGTAAATTTTTATGTCGCGTTCGAAAATTACGCGATACTATTCATCTATCATTTACAATATTACCAACAGACTGCAATGCAGACCACAGACTGAAAACATCACCGACGAGAGACAAAACAGATTCGACAAAGGCTTAAGATACCCAAGTACAGTTCGCCCTTTCGAACTGGAACCTGCTCTATCGTTTACCAACTTTGGAGGGCGATATATTTGCTGTACATATCTTAAGTCATGCATTGAACGTCTAATTTATCCTGTTTCTAGTCATTGCTATTATATGTACTTTCAGTCCACGTAGTATTGGTATCATAGAAAATACTTCAATGGTAAAACGTTCTTTCATAAAATTTTCTGTTTTAACTTCAAAATTATCAAAAGTTCTTCTTGTAAATATTTTTCCTACGCAAAATGAAGCTATCAATATAATTTCGAACCAATCAGAACATAAAAGTTTCAGAAATGACAAGCAGTGACACTAAAATAATAAAACGCTTTTGCAGATTTTGCAACGTTACCTTCGCATCGCTAAAAATCTCTCGCGAACATTGTTTTTATGTAAAATGAAGCTCTTTGTAAAAATTCAGGTATATTAGATATATCAGGTTTTCAGAAGTTTTATCAAACATCATTTAAAGAAGATTCGTGTAAAAAGAGAACTAGATGCACTTTCTATTTCATCGAATTCCTTCTATTCTTTCCTCTCCGACGATTCGTATAGAAATCACTGTAGATCCTTGATACTAAAGACTGTTTCTACAATGCCCACTTTATTCTTCTATCACTGAAGGGTTCCAACTAGATGGTACACGGTTTTCTCATGATCAGGATTGATAATCTGTAAGGAAGTCTTAGAGAAGGTAATGCATTTCATTGAGTTCGTACGTACGTGTTTCAGTTTATTTATTAAATTAAAGTTGACACAGGTTATTGTGTATGTCGTACAGTGAGAGTTGTGTGTATGGGCAATAGTACCTATCTATGTATATAATAATAGAAGTAGAATTAAAGTTAATCCATTTAAATACAAGTGCGACACGCGCGATCAGAAGGCGTAAGGTGCAGTTCTACATCTCGAGTCTCTCATTTATATTCTCTTATTTCGTTTTGTTTCTCTGAAATCCAATGTTCCTCCCCTTACGCGCTGTAACATCCACAATAATTGGAGGAAATCAGAACGAATTTCCGTTTTGATTCAGTGCGTACATGTTTTATGCGTGTGCGTTATTATTTATTTATCATTTCAAATGTGTCGAATAGTGACGATGATTAATTCTCGATGCT